GACCCTCACCCCTCAAATTAATCGTTAGTCAAAACACAAATCATGATGATTTAGACATTGGAGATTATAATTACCAGTTTCTGTTTGAAACCATATTTCATGGAACCGTTTAAAAAGAAATGTTGCGACGAAACCGGTTTGGCTCAGTGGGTAGAGCATTGGCCTGCGGACTCGAGGGTCCCGGGATCGATTCCGGTCAAGGGCACTGTATGTTGGTTGGGGGCATATCCCCAGTGGGAAGTGTAAAGGAGGCAGCTAATTGATGTTTCTCTCTCATGGATGTTTCTAGCTCTCTATCCCTCTCCCTTCCTCTCTGTAAAAAAAAAAAAAATTAAAAAATCAATAAAATATATTTTAAAAATAAAAAGAAATGTTGCATTCAGCCCTCAACCCATTGCCAGAGTCTGGAGGATCCCACCCACTCCTACCATGCAAACATTTCTTTTCCAGTGGAATTTTGCACTGAATCTTGAGATGCAAATAAATGCTTAGCTTCAGATTTCAGACTGAATTTATGTCCATGTGATAAATGTGGAAATGAACAACTTTATTAAGTTATGTATGCTTTTTCTACTGACATAGGATTCTGACCATATGAGCATATAATAATCAGGTGCCTTTGTTTTTCTTGTTTTTCCATTTCTTTTACAATTGTCATCCTATGTCACCTGGCAAATTATCGGTAGCTATCCTGCTAAATCAGAGCTAGTTCACTTATTGTATCTACATCTGGAATTCCAGTAGAAAAGATAGCTGTACCACATCCTGCTACTCATGAGCACTCTGAAATTCTGCCTGTAGGGTGAAAATACACCCTTCCCTATTAAGGTTGCATCAGACAGGACTCCCTGCCAGCAGTCCTGTCTAGGCCTACTGTATGCTAATGCTAAGCCCTCTGCATCTGAGGGCTAACTGATGATAAGCCAGTGCCTGAAAGAAGGGACCAGTGGGCCAATTTCTGCAGGATCCTGAGATGGCACACCGCCAGGCACAGGATGGCTGTTTGAGAACTTTGTCCCTTCCCTTCATCACCTGCACTCCAGCAGTGTTTTAAATTTGGTCAAATCCACTAAATATGAGGCATCAAATTAAAAAAAAAAAACACAAAAAACCACAGGCAATGTGATAAGAATGTAATTGTGATTCCTGGTCAGGGCATATTGTTTTGAGAAGAAGGAATAGAGAGATAGAGATTGGGGGGGAGTGCGGGGGGGGGGGGGGGGGGGACATGTTGGCAGAGAGAAACATCCATCAGTTGCCTCCCAAAGGTGTCCGGGCCAGGGATCAAACCTGTAACTAGGTATGTGCCCTGCCTAGGAATTGAAGCCACCACCATTTTCCAGTATATGGGACAATGTTCCAACCAACTGAGCCACACTGACCAGGGCAAGACTTCATTTTTTGATGCACATATAGTCATTACTTAAAGCAGCAAAATAAAAGACCAGGTAATAAATGTTTGTTCAAAGCTGTTAATGCCTCTTACATGAAAAGAGAGACTTAAGTAAATTGTAATGTGCTTGGCTCAATCTGTGCTTGTTGGTGACACTAAGTCAGGCCTCATGCCATGGGTCTCAGTGGGTTCTGCTAACCCCCTAAACTTAGTTCCTGTTGGGGGTAGGGTAATGATTGGGAAGAGAGTCCATGACCCAAAATGTTAAAGAAAAAAAAACAAAAAAAAACTACTGCTATGTGTTTTAAAAGATCTGGCTCTTTGCCCGTTTCCACATTAAATATAACACTTTTCCTATGTTTATGCCAACACAGACAGGAGTGAGCTCTCTGGACACCTGTGACCCAGGTGATGGAATGTCGACGCTAATTGATGTGAAGCACCCCGTTCACTCACCTTGATGGTGAGCCCACCTTGACACCATCTGACTAAAATGCAAGTCACGTAGCATTCTGTTTTTCTACAAACTGAATTTTTCCTATACAAAAGTTCTAGTAATTACAGGTACATTCACTGAAAGCTTAGATTCCAGTTTATTTAACTGTACATTAATTCATGTATAAGGTAATCTTGACCTCTTTCCAATCCTTTTTCTTACACCTGCACTTACATTTGAAAATGTGATCAAATGAAAACTGTGCTTTTTAAAAAAATATATTTTATTGATTTTTTTACAGAGAGGGAGAGAAAGAAAGCTAGAAACATCGATGAAAAAGAAGTATCAATCAGCTGCCTCCTGCACACCCCCTACTGGGGATGTGCCCAAAACCAAGGTACATGCACTTGACCTGAAGCTAACCCGGGACCCTTCAGTCCGCAGGCCGACACTCCATCCACTGAGCCAAACCGGCTTTGGCAAAAACTGTGGTTTTTGCATTATAATCTACATAACTTGAATTCTGATTTTAGTAGTTAAAAAATCATATTAGTAACATTAGAAATTAAACAACAACAACAACAAAAAAAAAAACAGGCAATGTGATAAGAATGTAATTGTGATTCCTGATCAGGGCATATGCTCAGGTTGCAGGCTCAATCCCCAGTGGGTGGCGTGCAGGAGGCAGGCCGTCGATGTTGATGTTTCTCTCTTGTCAACGTTTCTATCTCTCCCTGTCCTGTCCTCTCTTTCAAAAAAAAAAAAAAAAAATCAATTAAAAACATACACAAAATCAATTTATACCAGAAAACTATTTATGATCTTTAAATAAAAAAGATCTATATAGCCTAAACTGGTTTGGCTCAGTGGATAGAGCGTCAGCCTGCAGACTGAAGGGTCCCAGGTTCGATTCCGGTCAAGAGCATGTACCTTGGTTGTGGACACATCCCCAGTGGGGGCATCAGGAGCCAACTGATCGATGACTCTCTCTCTCATCGATGTTTCTAATTCTCTGTTCCTCTCCCTTCCTCTCTGTAAAATAAAAAAAATTAATTAAATATATTTTAAAGCCGGGACCGGTTTGGCTCAATGGATAGAGCGTCGGCTTGGAGACTAAAAAGTCCTGGGTTCGATTCCGGTCAAGGGCATGTACCTTGGTTGCGGGCATATCCCCAGTAGGGGGTGTGCAAGAGGCAGCTGATCGATGACTCTCTCTCATCGGTGTTTCTAACTCTCTATCTCTCTCCCTTCCTCTCTATACAAAATCAATAAAATATATTTAAAAATAAATAAATAAATATATATATATATTAAAAAAAGATAGAATTTTATTTCGAAAAAAAATTTGAATCACACAGCTTATGCTTTTCTTGTGTGATTTACAAAATGGTGTGGATGGATAGAAACATTCTGCCATTCAGTAAACATCTTTTTTTTCATCAAACTAGTGATTTCTTTAGTCCATGGGTTGACAATCACTGAGCCAGATCAGCTGAGCAAAAGTTGCTTTTTATTTATTTTATACTAGAGGCCCAGTGCACAAAGTTTGTGCTCTGGGGGGTTGTCCCTCAGCCCAGCCTGTACCCTCTCCAATTTGAGACATCCCTCTCACAATCCAGGACTGCTGGCTCCCAACTGCTCGCCTGCCTGCCTTCCTGATTGCCCCTAACTGCTTCTGCCTGCCAGCATGATCAACTCCTATAATAACTACTCCCCTGCCAGCTTATTTGCCCCTAACTGCCCTCCCCTGCAGGCCTGGTTCCCCCCAACTGCTCTTCCCTGCAGGCCTGGGTCTCCCCTGCAACTGCCTTTCCCTGAAGGCTTGATTGCCTCCAACTTCCCTCCTCTGCCAGGCTGGTTTCCCCTAACTATCCTCCCTTGCAGGCTTGATTGCCCCCAACTGCCCTCCCCTACTGGCCATCTTGTGGCGGCCATCTTGTGTCCACATGGGGACAGTCATCTTTGACCATGTGGGCAGCCATTTTGTGTGTTGGAGTGACAGTCACTTTGCATATTATTATTTTATTAGATAGGATAAAGGCCTGGTGTATGAATGGGGGCCAGCTGGTTTGCCCTGAAGGGTGTCCTGGATCAGGGTGGGGGTTCCCTTGGGGAGTGGGGTGGCCTGGGTGAGGAGCCTGTGGTGGTTTGCAGGCTGGCCATGCCCCCTGGTGACCCAAGCAGAGGCTCTGGTATCTGGGATTTATTTATCTTCTATAATTGAAACTTTGTAGCCTTGAGCAGAGCCAAGACTCCTGCTCACTCCATGGCCACAGCCAATTTTATTGGGATTCATTTATCTTCTGTAATTTAAACTTTGTAGCCTTGAGCAAAGGCCAAGGCAGGCCAGGGCTGCAGAAGCTTGGCTTCCTTCATCGCTGGAGGCAACTCAAGCCTCCTGCTCTGTGGCTGCCACCATTTTTGTTGGGATTTATTTATCTTCTATAATTGAAACTTTGTAGCCTTGAGCAAAGGCCTGGATCAGCCAAGGCAGGCACAAAGCTTGGCTTTAATTACTGGGGAAACCCAAGCCTCCTGCTCTCTCTGTGGCTGCAGCCATGTTGGTTGGGTTAATTTGCATACTCACTTCTGATTGGCTGGTGGGCATGGCTTATGGATGTAGCTAAGGTATGATCAATTTGCATATCACTCTTTTATTAGATAGGATGTGTGTGTTTTAATTGATTTCAGAGAGGAAGAGGGAGAGATAGAAACATCTCCTGCACACCTCTTACTCGGGATTGAGCCTGCAACCCAGTCATGTGCCTTTGATTGGAATCAAACCTGGGACCCTTCAGTCCGCAGGCTGATGCTCTATCCACTGAGCCAACCAGGTAGGGCCAGAAGTTGCTTTTTAAATGGCTGCATCACTTTGTTATCTTTGTGGGCCAGATTTCCCAGACACTATTGGGCATAAATTCTTAAGAGTACCCCTGAAATAGCATTTTCAGAAGCCCCATGGGAAAATGAAATGTGGTAAAAAGCTGTGTTTGCATGGAGTTACATTTCTTGGGTTGTAAAGTCCCATGTCCCTTAATCTAATTGCTGGGAATTCAGCAAAACCAAAAGAAGGTCAATATCCAGAGCTTCCGATCCATGTTGTAGTTGGGCCCAGGTTAGCATCAGGCTAATTCAAGTCCACTAGTCCATTGTGTGGAGCCCACAATGCTTAGGCACCAGGACAAATGCAGGGAACGTGCCCCCTGCAATGAGAGAGGCAGGAGCACAGGCATGCAGAAGACACAAGAGCCAAGAGAGAGAACTTGCCGAGAGAGAGAACTTCCTTGGTTCAGAAGTTTTTAAAAAATATATATTTTATTGATTTTTTTTTACAGAGAGGAAGAGAGAGGGATAGAGTTAGAAATATCGATCAGCTACCTCTTGCACACCCCTACGGGGATGTGCCCGCAACCAAGGTACATGCCCTTGACCGGAATCGAAACTGGGACCTTTCAGTCCACAGGCCGCTCTATCCACTGAGCCAAACCGGTTTCGGCTGTTCAGAAGTTTAAATATTCAGGTTTCATGCCCTTGTAGTGGCCACGCCTATTCTGGCCACTAATTTGACTGACAGCACCTTCCCAAGTCACTCAGACTTTGCTGGGCATGCATGTAAACTGCCTTCATCCATCTCCTTCTCCCACCAATAGGTGGGGAACAGACTTGGAGAGTGTTAAATTAGCAAAGCTGTGTAAATTGCATGCCTATATTATCTATTTTCCCTTTATTCCTTTCCTGTTAATAACCAGCTATTACAATGGTATCAACATTTCCAGTCGCAGTGTTTATGGAAGAGTAATTTTAATCTGTCTAGTCCAGATAGGCTCTGATAGCAACACTCTCCAAACCAAACTAAATGAAAACCAAGAAGGCAGTGAGCCAGAAGCGCTGCTTATTCCCCAGGTAGTCCTTACCTCTCACCTCAATGGAGGCAGTTAGCAATTAGATCTTTGTAGGTTATGGAGAAACACTTCCAAATAATTATCAACTCCCTTCTTTCCGAGCCAAAGTAAAATAAACCTGATCACTCCCAAAAGAGGTCAGTTGTAGGCTCTATTGTAAAAAAATAACATTATTCCTGCATATAAATCATATTCATTTAAAAGTCAAAATCAACTACAGTTGGCCCTAGCCAGTTTTGCTCAGTGGATAGAGTATCGCCCTGTAAACTGAGAGGTCTCAGGTTCAATTCCGGTCAAGGGCATGTACCTTGGTTGCGGGCACATCTCCAGTAGGGGGTGTGCAGGAGGCAGGTGATCGATGTTTCTCTTTCATCAATGTTTCTATCCCTCTCCCTTCCTCTCTGTAAAAAAAACCCAATAAAATATATTAAAAAAAAAAAAAAAAAAAAAGAGGTCTTGAACTGAAAGGTTCCAGGTTTAATTCCAGTCAAGAACATGTATCCCTGTTGCAGGTTCATCCCTGGCCTAGCCCCTCTTCGGGGCTCGTGCAGAAGGCAACCAATATCAATATTTCTCACTTCGGGGGGAGGGGGGTGGCGGAGGCGCGGGGACAATTGTTCCAGGTGTGCTCCCCACACGCACCAGTGCTCCTCACAAAAACTTGGATGATCCCAACCACCCACCAGCATGCTCCTGGGATAAAATTAGAAGAGAAACTTGAGACTGTTAAGATTGATTGAAGGGTCATGGATCATGGACTCCATGGAGAATACAGTGTGTTTAAAGTACATTAGATATAATTTCAGGAAGAATAAAAAGCAGCTTACTTTTTTTTAAATCCCCCATTGATTTTTAGACAGGGTTGGGAAAGGGAGGAGGGGGAGAGAGAAACGATTGGTTACCTCCCATACACACTACAACCAGAGCTGGGGATCAAACTTGCAATTGAGATACATGCCTTTGACCAGGAATCAAACCCTCCACCCCTTGTTCTGTGAGCAAACACTCCAACTACGGAGCCAAACAGGACAGGACAGCAACTTACTCTGTATTTAAAAGGCCAGCCCACCAAATTATTTTATTGCACTTTATTCTTGCAGTGTGTATTCCTTCTGAACTTAAGCCACTAGATTTTGTTGTGGGTTGAATTGTGCCCCTTCTCCCCCTAGGGCCTCAGAATGACCTTATGTGGAGATAGGATTGTTATAGATGTCATCAGTTAAAATGAGGTCATGCTGGAGTCGAGCAGCCCTGAGCCAAAGACTGGTGTCCTTTTTTTTTTAGAAGGTTTTTTTTAAAAAAAATATATATATATTTTATTGATTTTGTACAGAGAGAAAGGGAGAGAGATAATTAGAAACATCGATGAGAGAGAGTCATCGATCAGCTGCTCTTGCACACCCCCCACTGGAGATATGCCCGCAACCAAGGTACATGCCCTTGACAGGAATCCAACCCGGGACCCTTCAGTCCCCAAGCCGACGTTCTATCCATTGAGCCAAACCGGTTTCAGCTGGTGTCCTTATAAAAAGTAAACACTTGGACCAGACACAGCTCAGGGAAAAAGCCTGGAGAATATGAAGACTCAGGTTGGGTGGGCGGGGACAGGGTTAGGGAAGAGGCAACTGGGTCTCCAGATGTCCCGTCTCCAGGCCAGTGAGACACATATTTCTGCTAAGTGCCCTGGGCTGAGGTCTTCTGTTTCAGCAGCCCCGGGACACACATAGCTTCAACTGCCAAGTGTGCAAAACTGGACAGCCCAGCCTGGTCAGTGTGGTTCAATGGTCCATGAACCAGGAGGTCACAGCCTGATTCCTAGTCAGAGCACTCAATCCCCAGATCAGCATGCAGGAGGCAGCCGGTCAATGAGTCTCTCATCATTGATGTTTCTCTCTCCCTTCCTCCTTATGAAAAATGTATTTAAAAAACAACAACAGAGCAGCCCACAGACCCCCTGAACTTTACTTCAATGGTAAAGAATCAAGTTTTTACTTCCAAAACTAGTAATCCATATACAAAATAAACCATGAGGACTTTCCCACGATTGTGTATTTGTTTAATTCAGCTAGATATTTACAAGTATTTGCGAATATGAAAGTACAGTAGCCAGGCCAACTCCAGCTTGAAGCTGTGCAGCCCTCCTGTCCCTCCCAACTCCTCCTCAAAGGCTTCAGCATCCACAGCGTCTCCACGTGAAAGTAACTCCCTGGGCAAACCCCACACCTGGGACAGGCACTCAGTAGCGGTATTTGGTGGAGTAGTCCTTCGGAGACACAACCAGGCCACGGCCTTTGCGGGCGCCCCGGTACACGGTCTCAATGATGTCAATCATCTCCTGCTTGTCCTCCATGGCCCAGTTGATCTTGTTGTTGTTGCCAGTGCCCAGGTCAATCATGATGTGCTTGTTCCTACAGAGGGAATAGGCAAGGCTTATCAGAGCGTCTAGAAGGGCCCTGGTTGGGTAGCTCAGTAGGTTAGAGAGTTGTCTCCGTATGCTAAGGTTGCAGTTTTGATACCTAGTCAGTGTACATGCATGAGTAAGTAAAACAACAAATCAATGTTTTTCTTGCTCTCTCTCTCTCTAAAAATCACTATTTTTTATTTTTTTTTTAAAGCCTCTACAAGGGACCCCATGAAAAATGCCTGTTTTCCACTGTTACAGCTCTGGTTACTCCGCTCAGATTTGACTTCAACATGCAGCAACCAGCAGGGAAGCCATAGTCTGTCTGAGCCCCCCATGTTTCCACTGCCCAGAAATGCACTGTCTAGAAGCAGATGGAGCCCTAGCACAGCCAGCGAGTAGAGGCTTCAGCTCACGACCACAAAATGGGATTCGACCAACTACCTAGGTGAGATATGACTTCTTCCCTGACTGACTACCTTTGAGAGAACCCAAGGAAACCTGTAGAACCTGTCCAGACTAGGACCTGCAGAACCCCGAACTTACAAATGGTGTTTTCAGCCATAAAACTTGTGCTAACTTGTCTCACAGAATATGAAGCTAATACACACCCTACACCGTCGACCTGGACCATCTCACCAACAGGGGCTCTACTTGTGAAGTGAACATTAATACTGCTATATACCAACTTTTGTAGTAACAATAACTATAAAATTTTGGCAAGCACAGCAATATTAAAGGGTTATTTCTTTCCTAATTAACCTTCCAGAACAGTTATTTTTGTATTCATGATGTTACTTAATTACATAAATCCCATCAAACATACGTGGCACCTGCATCAGACCTCTGGGTACGGAGCCAGTACATTGCCAGGTTTTCCTTTGAAGCAAACCCCGTACATTGTGGATACAAATTTGTCTGAGGCAATTAGGGAAATTCTATTCTTCATGCCAGTAATTCATTGACTGGAGTACAAACAGAATGTTTACTGATAAAATGATCTTGTGCTTATAAGCAAATAAATTAAGAACAGGTTTTCCCTCTTAGGTATCACAAAGAATATTAGTGTCATGATATCATATTTTAAAATAGACATTGAGTTATTTTAAAACAGACATTTTCCATCAACAGATTAAAGGTAACTTAAATGTTAATAAGAATATCTTCCATTTAATTATACTTCACCGAGGTTTCTGGGCAAAGTTACTCCAAAAGAGTAATTTATCACTCAGTAAATGCTAAAACTAGAACTGTTTAAAAATTATTGAAAAGATCACATTAATTGCTCGGTGATACAATCTGTATGTGATATGACTACATAACGACTTCCTTCCAAGTAATCTAAAGGCATCTTGATTACATTAAACTTCCAGACCAACAATTTCAATTTAAACAAGAACTTTAAGAGAAAAGGAGCCCAGCCAGCATGGCTCAGTGGTTGAGCATCGACCCAGGAAACAAGAGGTCATTGATTTGATTCCCATTCAGGGCACATGCCTGGGGCTGTGGGCTCAATCCCCAGTGGAGGGGTGAGCAGGAGGCAGCCAATTAATGATTCTCTCTCATCATTGATGCTTCTATTTCTTTCTCCTTTCCTCTCTGAAATCAATAAAAATATAAAGAGGACAATTTAAATAACAAGTTTAAAACAAGAGGACATACCTGAAGAAAAACATCACAGTACAAGGATCGTATAACTCATACATCTTGTTGAAGTCAGGTACTTCTGTAATATCCACAAGATAATTAACCGCAAAATTTTTAACCTAAAAGTAAAGAACATTAAAAGAAATAAAAATAAATTTATTTAATTCTGTAAAAGCACATTAAAAACTAAAACAATCATCTGTGTATAACAGAACAATTTTCAAGCTCTCCAACATTTTCCCAGTAGAGTTAACACAGAAAAATAATTCAACAAGCTCAGGATTCCTAGCAAATAACTGGCTATTACACTTCCCTTTAACATTTTTTTAGAATGCAAGTTACAAGGACTTTAAGAAAATATCCACAGACATATTATTCATGCTGATCTAGCAATAATCTATATGATCTTTTCCAAATGTATACTTTTACTAATAATCACATGCATTGAACAACTGCTTTCCAACATACCATACATTCCCCATGTACTTGGGTTTGAACTCTTCTTGTAAATAGAACTACTACTCCAAATAGTATCGTATATAACAAAATTTCTTTAAATGCAAATTCACCAGAGAAGATTTAGAAAACTATAAATAAAATCACCTTCAATCCCAACAAAAAGTTAACTACTGCAAAAGTATTTTTAAGATGTTCTTTCCCATTTTTCCTTTAACTGAGTCACACAGCCAGGGCTCCTGGTATACATGCATGTATACATATATACATATATATTTAACTGTTTTAACAAAATGTGATCATACTACAATATTTACTACATTGCTTTAATTACAAAAATTCTCTAAAAACACAACTTTTATGGCTGTATTAAATAATTAGTTCATGCCCTGACCAGTTTGGCTCAGTGGATAGAGTGTTGGCCTACGGACTGAAAGGTCCCAGGTTTGATTCTGGTCAAGGGCATGTACATTGGTTGCGGGCACATCCCAAGTAGGGGGTGTGCAGGAGGCAGCTGATTGATGTTTCTAACTCTATCCCTCTCCCTTCCTCTCTGTAAAAAAATCAATAAAAAATATATAAAATAATAATAATTAGCTTATCAAATGTCTATGCCATTACTGTACCTTTCTTCTGCTACTTTCTGATTAATATCAATTATTCCCCTATGAACATTCTAAGCCTTAAAATTTGTGCACACATTCATTATTTTCTAAGGATAAATTCCTAAAACAGAATTTCTAGAACTAAGAACATAACATTTTAAAGGCTTCTTATAAATACAGGGGTGGGCAAAAGGTTTACAATTGTAATACAAATAAATCTATAATAATAAAAGGGTAATATGCTAATTAGACTGGAAGTCCCTCCTTCCCAACAAAACCACAGCAGGCGGGGTCTGGGGCCAGGGCCAAAGTCCTTGCATGAATTTCGGTGCATCGGGCCTCTAGTACAACAACAATTATGCAAGACCTGGCGGGTGTGGTTCAGTTAGTTGAGCACTGTCTCAGGCACCAAAAGGTTGCCAGTTCGATTCCTGGTCAGGGAACATACCCAGCTTTGGGCTTCATCCCCAGTACAGGGCATGCAGGAGGCAGTCAGTTGGTATTTCCCTTGGAAGAGAGAGAATCATTGATTGGCTGCCTCCTGCATTCCCCACACTGGGCATCGGCCGGCAACCCAATCAGGCACCCTGACCAGAATTGAACCTCCTGCTTTATGGGTCGATGTTAACCACTGAGCCATGCCAGTAAGGCTAAAATCACATTAGGATTTTTTAAGATGAATCTCAAGCCACACAAGGCCAGAAACCATGTCTATAATCTTTATTGATATGTCCTCAGAGCCAAACACCTGACACATTCAAGGCACTAATGAATATTAGTTGAATGAATGAACTTTAACAATAAACTTATATTTCAAAACTCAAGAAACCCATTATTGTCACTAAGAACCATTTTGGACAGTATGGACTTAACTCTATAATCCTGAGTTCAGACCTGCCTTAGGAGGTGTCAGGTCTAACCCCCTTCCTCAGAGACGGGGTCCTGACAGAGGCTCTCCCAATACTGGCAGGAAAGGGCCACACCACAGACATGGCTCATCCAGGTGGGTGGCTAAGTGAGCATGCTGCCTCTCACTCTGAACCCTCCCAGGTTTTGCTCTGGAAAAGCTCCCAGCTGACAAAGCTTCTCCTCACCTGGATTTGGATTCCTGTATTGTCGTGCTACCTTCTACATAGAGAACTATGTCGTCTAAACCAGTGGTCACCAACTTTCAGACCTCAAGGACCACCAATGGTCCAGAGACCACCAGTTGGTGACTGCTGGATTAAACAGTTCACATCCATTAATGAAATCTGCAGATAACTAAAACCCTTGTGTATTTTTTTTTTAATATACAACTGAAATTAAACTAGGTGTCTATCTTTTCTCCATTTAAAAAATTGGAAAATATATAAATGAAATGGAAAAATCACTCTTTTGTATCTAGCCCAAAAATTTTCAAACAAATTATATAATTTATAAAACATGAAAGTCATAATAAATCTATGAGTGTTTTAAAGTGAAATGTTAATGTTGCCCTTTTTCAACCCAAAGCTTGCTGATGAGGACACCTTCTACTTTGCTTTTCTCCAGCTGACATCAGTTTTCCCACATCTATAATAATAAAAGCATAATATGCTAATTAGAACAGACATCATTCTGGACATCCTTCTGGACAAAGCCAGGGCTGCAAGGGAAGCCTGGGTTCTGGGTGCTGGAGGGAAGCCAGTGCCAACAACCAGGAGAAGGAAGGTCTACTCTTGCATGAATGTCGTGCATTGGACCTCTAGTTATTTAATAAAGATCATTTTTAATGGCCAAATAATATTCCATCCAGGAGGGTGTACGTTCCAGTTTAAATCTCAATTTCCAAGTCTGGACAGATAACTGCTTCTACCTGCTCAGGAGCTGTCATGAGGGCCACATGAGGGGTCAATTTCCTACCTGGCACTGTGCCTGGCCTAAGTGTTCCCCTATCACTGGACACTGTGGTGGTTTCCACTTTTGCTACAAATGACAGCAATGGTCTCCCGAAGGGTCAGTTATTGAGAACAGTGGGACCATCTGACATTCGCTCATCAGGCTCTTCACTAATGCCAGCCACGTTCCTCAGGGTGATGCCAACTCTACCACCTGAACATTACGATGTCCAGCACACCCCAACTTCAGCTCCTTTTTAATTTTCTGACTCTGATATACCTAAAAACGATAGTTTACTTAACCATCGGAATTTCTTATTTTTTTCAAGTTCTTTTCAAATTCTTGTTTACTCACAAGAACCATCTTTTAAAATAGTACTGTAACCATATTTGCCGTATTTAAATACATTTTGCCTACTATTAGTAATGCTAACTGGTTAAGTAGTATATTATTAAACCAAGAATCACATGTACAAATTCATTTTTATTATCAAGTTATTTTTGAAATACATATTCTTTGGTCATCTACAACAGTAAATATCCTTTCCAGCTCTGTTGCCCACACACTTGATGAGTACACCTTTTTCTTCAGCAAGTCAGTGATCAACCACCACTCGGCCCTCTGTATGGTGGTCCTTCCCCAGTTGAGAGCCTATCTAATACACCAGAAAAATGCTCTGGGCTGTCAATTGGTTAATTATTACATTGCTATTTAATTCATTTTAAATCCATCAAAAGATTACATAGTAACTTTATTTTCTAAAACTATGTGTTCTGCCTGGCTGGTGTTGCTCAGCTGTTGAGCATCGACCTATAAACCAAGATTTCATGGTTCATAGGATTCCCAGTCAGGACATTTGTCCAGGTTGCAGACTCCATCCCCAGTTGGAGGCATGCAGGAGGTTGCTCATCAATGACTCTCTCTCAACACTGATGTTTCTCTCTCTCGCCACCTCCCTTCCTCTTTGAAGTCAATAAAAAATATATTTAAAAATAAATAAATAAAACAAACTATGTGCCCTGATTAGCTCTATTTACAATAACTGTTGCAAATTTTGTGATGTGAGATAGTAATAATGGCAGCTAATGATTACTGAATGTACTACTTGATGTTAACTCTGTCCTCACAACCATCTAGGAGTCTGGCACTGGTATCCCTTTTTTACAGACGAGTTATTTAATGTCATGGAGGCAGTAAGTGGCAGAATCCAACTCAGTCTGGGCCCATAAACCACTGCTCAATCCTGCCTCTCATAGCTGCTGCTGCAAGGGATTATATGCAGAGACACAAATCCAGAGTGAAGACAAAAACATGCCTTCTGTTGGTTCCTATCAATTTCTCAGACTGAGCACCAACTTCCATTGGTTCCCTTATTTTATGTGATGCTTCAGAAAGACCCCATAGTCATTCCTAAAAAATTCCATCAATATATTTGCCTTGCCGAAACCAATTTGGCTCAGTGGATAGAGCGTCGGCCTGAGGACTGAAAGGATTCAAGTTCGATTCCGGTCAAGGGCATGTACCTTGATTGCAGGCACATCCCCAGTGGGGGGTGTGCAGGAGGCAGCTGATCGATGACTCTCTCTCATCGATGTTTCTAACTCTCTATCCCTCACTTCCTCTCTGGAAAAAAATCAATAAAATATATTTAAATAAAAATATATATATATTTGCCTCACATACAATTTCATCTAGAATATATGATCACTAGTCAATATCGCTGAGGTTCTACACATTTTAAACTCTATTTGTATAGGCTTTTTAACACAAAAATTCAATGTCCCACTTATTCTTAACTATCGTGGAATTTAGGAAACTGAGCTGTGACAAACTGTTCTTACAGAATGGCAGATAGCTCAGAGGGGCACAAAACAGTCTCTCTTCAAAGCTGTGCATAAAATCAGCTGCTAAGCAGAAACTTTGCTATTACCACTCTACCAATCCCAGACAGCTGAAAGTCGGTAAGCATCTCTTCTCTGTTTCAGTATCGCTCAAAACTAACCCAGCACAAAGAGGGGTTGGCACTGTCAGAGCATCAAGTCAATACACCACATTCCAGCCTCAAGCCAGGAACTTTACTCACTTTAAAACAGCTGGGATATCCAAACAGGGCTCGTAACAAGATGAGGAAGATCTCCCATTATCTCCCATTTCTGCAGAGGGAGATTTTTAAAGAGTTAAGTTGTTCTTTATACTAAAACCTTAAATCTCAAAAATTTCTGTTAAGCTTCCCCAAAAGAACTTCCAGAATTTTAAGTTCATATTTTGCCCTTATACTAAGATGAAAGTAAAATGTTAATAGTCTTATAATGCATTTCAAGTTTGCATTTTGAATAGCTATATTATATATAATACAATATTGAAAGTTTATTAAAATAAAAATCTCCCTGACCGGTTTGGCTCAGTGAATAGAGTGTCCAGCTGCGGACTTAAAGGTCCGGGGTTCAATTCCAGACAAGGGCATGTACCTTGGTTGCAGGCATATCCCCAGTAGGAGGTGTGCAGGAGGCAGCTGATTGATGTTTCTCAATGATGTTTCTCTATCCCTCTCCCTTCCTCTATGTAAAAAAATATAAATAAGAAAAAAATAAAAATAAATAAATAAAATTAAAACCCACATTTTTGGACAAGAGAAAAAAGGGTAACTTAAAGAATAAAGAAAAATTGTCAAAGTGAGCCTCATTAAACTACCCTTATTAACAGATTCAATACAAGAAGAGTGGCACAGTGGCACAGCAATTTGGTCTCTAACTGACATAAAGGCATTAGAAAAGAGATACTCTGGTAAAAGTCCCTAAAAACTTACGTTATCACATAAAATATGTCTCCTAGCTAAAAGCATCTTGCCAAGTTTTGCTCAGACACGAAGAGCCAACCAACTCTTATGTCTCTAGCCATCCTAGCCTGGCGCTGAGGGCAGAGGGATCTGGATACCACCTGGTGATTGTGCTACCACCTGCAAGCTAGAATCCAGGACACATACCCTAGCTTATTTCAACGTCAACATGCTGCCCTGACCAGATTGGCTCAGTTGATAGAGTGTTGGGCTGCAGACTCAAGGATCCCAAGTTCGATTTCAGTCAAGGGCATGTACCTTGGTGGTGGGCACATCCCCTGTCGGGGGTGTGCAGGAGGCAGCTGATTGATGTTTCTCTCATTGATGTTTCTAACTCTCTCTCCCTTTCCCTCCCTCTCTGTAAAAACATAAATAAAATTTATTTAAAAAAAAAAAAAGTCAACATGCTAATGATTTGCTTATTGGAAAAGTGCTTGGGTTCAAGAATCTCCTGGGTTCCCCAGTCACCTATCTCCCCAAGCTCCTCAGTGTCCTTGTAATGTCTGACAAGTATAGCACTCATACTTGAACCCAGACCTCTGTTGAGAGGTTTCTGAAAGTCACATCACAATTCCCAGAGAAGCTTCTCAAAGAAGCCATTCTGAACCTCACCCAGACTCATACAATCAGAATCTCTGCAGTGCACTTGGTTAAGTATGCCAACTGACACTTATGATGACCGATACGGAAGAACAGTCCCTAAGGTCCACAATATCACAACCTCTACATAACTCTGCCTCCCCTTCCAAATAGGAGGTAGTAAAAGTCAGCTTTTCTTTCCTAAATACAAAGTATATACTCTTGTTATTTGCTCAAAAGTGTTATTTTAATCCAGCCAATATTATCTCCTCTTCCCATGAAAGAAAAGATGGGCCTTAACCGGTTTGGCTCAGAGGATAGAGCATCGGCCTGCGGATTGAAGGGTGCCGGGTTCGATTCCAGTCACGGGCATGTACCTTGGTTGGGAGCACATTCCCAGTTGGGGGGTGTGCAGGAGGCAGCTGGTCGATGAATCTCTCTCATCGATTTTTCTCTCTATCCCTCTCCTTTCCTCTCTATAAAAAATCAACAATATATATATATGTTTTTAAAAAGATGGTTTCAGTGTTTCCATTTTTACTCTTCAAATGACCTTAATAATTGAACACCCTAATATATGTGCCTTTTGCCCAATTGTTGAAATTGCAAAAACCCAAATTAAAAGTTACCTTAAAATCAGCATGAGGAAACTTAAAAAGAATTAAGGCTCTGGCTACACAGAAACATCCTACAACTGCACCCTTACTTACTGTCAGCAAACAAGTCCCTGCATTTAAATCATCTGTTATAAAACAAACGACAAGAGCTACTATGCTATTAACATACATGTTCGGCTTTATAAATAAAACAAACAAATAAATAAATAAATAAAACAAATAAACATTTTATATATATATATATATATATATATATAAAAGGACAATCCTTTTAAGCTAAGCTATTTAAAAGGGGCTCCAACACTTGCCAAAGTATGAAAAAAACATTGTGTTCTTGGTACCGTGGATGCAAATTTTGAAAAAACACCCTATCCACTAGGAATTACTAAATGATTTATCTAGGGAGAGGGATCGTGAACTTTTTTTGTAACGTATGGAAACTTCTTCCGGAAGAAAAGGCCATAACCTATTGTGTACAATTTCGGGGAGCTCGTCCTCACATCACCAGGTCAACCCTACATCTTTATTGGCTGGCGCATTAAAATTCAAGATATGAACAGTGAGCGTGGAATCTGGCTTTTAACCTCACTTTTAAAATTTTCCTGTCAACCAGCAAAGCAAAAGGAAGCAGACACCGCGCTGACACGCAGCGCAGCGGAAGCGCAGGCTACGGTACCTTCTCCGCGATGCAGTACAGAACCTCGTCCATTTTCATGCACGTGGGGTCCCAATCGTGCCCGAAGCGAATGACGACCACTCGGTCTTCCTCCGAAAGGATGGCCTGGTCCACCTGCCAGCCATTGTGCAAGTGCGGGAGCATATACGACATGTTGGCGACTCTAGCGGCCTCTGCGGGAGAGAACTCGGTGGAGGAGCTGCTTTCGGCTCAGTCACAGCACTCGGCGCTGGCGGGGAGCTGCCCACCGACCGCCGCTTCCCTCCTCCCCGGCCCGCCCCCCGCCCCCAGCCCGGATCCCCGACTCCCCGGCTCCGACCTCCAACCACAGCCCGGATCCCCAGCTCCCTGATCCGGTTCGCTGCTCGTACCTTCTGGAACACCCGACTTCCAGCGTTGCGACCGCCCTCGGCTTACAAACGCAGTGACGTGCGCGTGCGCGTGCGCATGCGCGTGGCCGCCGTGCGTGCGTGCGTGTGTGCGTCGGCCGTGCGCGCATGCGTCTTTGCCGGGGTGGGGCCTGGAGTCTGGTTGCCTTCGGGATGCCCCGCCCCGCGGTCCAGGGGGGCTGCTGTGTCCAACCGGGCCGAGCTTCAATGCGTGGCCCCAAATTAGTCATTTTGCCGTCATGCTTCCAAGACATAAATTATGATAATGTTGGGTTGTTGTGTATGTTGTTGGGTGTCCAACTTAATTAATTTACATATGGGTATCCAGTTGTCCCACATCGTGTTTTGGAAAGATTACTCCTTCCCCATCAAATTGCATTGGCACCTTTGTTCAGGATGTGTGTGTTGTCCCAGGCAGAGGCGGGACTGGGGTTGGGCTAAACGTTGTATGGGGCGGAGAGACGCGGGTAAGGTGTGTTAGGCAGGTTGAAAGTCACTGTGAACTTCTGTGAGGAACCTGCCTGGGAGACTGGTTCTACCTGAGCCCCTGAGATCTTGAGTCCTTTGAAAAGGTAAGTGTGTGTCCTAGCTGGTTTGGCTCAGTGGATTGAGCGTTGGTACCAGGTTCGATTCCGGTTAAGGGCGCATTCCTGGGTTGCTGGCTCCGTCCCCAGTAGGCGGCTTGCAGGAGGCAGCCAATTAATGATTCTCATCATTGATGTTTCTTCTCTCTATCCCTTGCTCTCTGAAATCAATAAAAATATATTTTAAAAGGTAAGTGTGCCCCTATCATGGAGGAGCTGTGAAGTATGGGCGTGGCTTCGACCCCAAACCTTGCCTGTGATGGAACAGTTGAATCCTAAACCCATCCAGACCTGCATAGCAGGACCCTAAAGGATTTAACTGGAGAAATGCAATGTTGTGGCAGGATGAAGGCGGTTTCAGGAACTCTGCCAGAATTTAGAGGTAAATTTCGATAGGTGTTTATTATTTTTGTAAGCTGTAGGCCAATGTTTCCCAAACTTCTCTCATGATGAGAATCACCTGGTGGAGCTGTTAAAATTCAGATTCCTGAATCCCAACTAAGAAGTGCTAAACTAGAATTTTTGGGAACATATAGGTAAAATTGTATACTTAACTAGTGCTCTAAGCTAGTTAAGTATACAATTTTAGTGCTCTAAGCTAGTTAAGTATACAATTTTAGTGCTCTAAGCTAGTTAAGTATACAATTTTAGTGCTCTAAGCTAGTTAAGTATACAATTTTAGTGTTCTAAGCTAGTTAAGTATACAATTTTAGTGCTCTAAGCTAGTTAAGTATACAATTTTACCTATATGTTTCCAAAAATTCTAGTTTAGCACTTCTTAGTTGGGATTCAGGAATCTGTAGTTTAACAGCTCCACCAGATGATTCTCATCATGAGAGAAGTTTGGGAAACACTGCTGTAGGCAATGGCACATTAAGCTTTAAATGGGTAAAATTTGTGGTTCCCACATCATATTTTAGTTCTTAGTTTACACCCTTACATGAATCCAGTGTTTTAGGAACTTAGCGCCTGTTTTTACAGAGATATATCATGATAGTTTTGATTTTAAGTTATATTGAATTTGTTGATACCTGGTATCTCAAGAAACCTCACATAAAAGGTACAAACAGTGCAGGTTTCATTAATCTTGAACTAGCAAACTAATGGTCAAGGAATCTGTATATTTTATTCTTTTGGATCCCCTTATCTAGTCATGCGCTAATCAGATAATTGTCCGTTGACTAAAATATTTCAGGCTCCTTTGCTGGACTCTGGCCCATGATTGGAGATGGTTAAAGTCCAGTGCAAGACAAAGTGATGAAGGTGTGAGCCCTGCATCTGCCTGTAGCTCTCATCTCTGTTACTTTCATTTCTCTCAACTGGGAATCTCACCCTCTCTTATTATTTGGAGCAGCCATCAGTCACTTGGAGAATCTTGAGTCTTTTCCACATAAAACCACTGACAATAATGGTGTGATGGATATATGCCATTGCTCTAATGAAAAATTACATATAAATTGATCAGGAATCATTCTTCCTCTCTGAAAAAGTAAAGTAAAATCTTATCTTGAAGTCCAAAAAAAATTTTTTTAAATATATTTTGTTGATTTTGTACAGAGAGGAAGGGAGAGAGATAGAGAGTTAGGAACATCGATGAGAGAGAGTCATCGATCAGCTGCCTCTTGCACACCCCCTACTGGGGATCTGCCCACAACCAAGGTACATGCCCTTGACCGGAATCGAACCCGGGACCCTTCAGTCCCCAAGCCAACGCTCTATCCATTGAGCCAAACCGGTCTTGGCAAAGTCCAAAAATTTTTTAAATCAGCTTTAAACGTTAAACATTTTTAGTCATGACCCAAAGATGCATTCATTAACCTCAGTTCTTTTTTTTTTAATAAGTCTTTATTGTTCAGATTATTATAGTTGTTCCTCTTTTTTCTCCCCATAGTTCCCCTCCACCCAGTTCCCACCCCACCCCATGCCCTTACCCCCTCATAGTCCTGTCCATAGATGTTCAATTTTTGTACAGTCTCTTCCCGCACCTCCACATCCCCTTCCCCCCAAGAACTGTCAGTCCACTCCCTTTCTATGCCACAGATTCTATTATATTCACCAGTTTATTCTGTTCATCATATTTTTTATTCACTCGATTCTTAGATTCACTTGTTGATATGTATTTGTCACTTTGTTGTTCATAATTTTTATTTTTACCTTTTTCTTTTTCCTCTTCTTAAAGAACACCCTTCAGCAATTCATATAATACTGGTTTGACTGTGATAAACTCCTTTAGCTTGTTCTTATCTGTGAAGCTCATTATCTGACCTTTAATTCTAAATGATAGCTTTGCTGGATAGAGTAATCTTGGTTATAGGTTCTTGCTATTCATCACTTAGAATATTTCTTGCCACTCCCTTCTAGCCTAAATAGTTTTTGTTGAAAAATGAACTGACAGTCATATGGGTACTTTCTTGTAGGTAACTGTTTTTCTCTTGCTGCTTTTAAGATTTTCTCTTTGTCTTTTGCCCTTGGCATTTTAATGATGATGTGTCTTGGTGTGGTCCTCTTTGGATTCCTCTTGTTTGAATTTCTCTGTGATTCCTGAACTTGTAAGTCTATTTCTTTCACCAGGTAGCGCAAGTTTTCTGTCATTATTTCTTTAAATAGGTTTTCAATAACTTGCTCTCTCTTTTCTTCTGGCATCCCCATAATTTGGATGTTGGTACGCTTGAAGTCCCCAGAGGCTCCTTACACTATCTTCATATTTTTGGATTCTTTTTGCTTTTTGCTTTTCCAGTTAAGTGTTTTATGCTTCTTCATATTTCAGATCTTTGACTTGAGTCTTGATATTCTTTAGTCTGATGCTGGATCTGTTTTTTTTTTTTTTCTTTTTTTCCCCCCACTTTTTTTTTTGATTATGATATCACATAATTGCCTTCACCCCCCCAATCCCATCCCAGCCCCTCCCTACATATGTCCACACACACACACACACACACACCCGTTGTCCATGGCCACTGGCCAGGCCCATATGCATGCACACAAGTCCTTTGGTTGATCTCTTCCCCTTTACCCCCACCCTCCCCTACTTTCCCTCTGAGGTTTAAAAGTCTGTTCAGTGCTTCTCTTCCTCTGAGTCTGTTTTTGTTCATCAGTCTATGTTGTTCCTCATTTCCTCTAGATGCGTGAGATCTTGTGATCTAAGAAATACCCTTGTAAGAACCTAAATTGAGAAAAGCCATAATGGTTATGCTGAGAGGCAAATGAATCAGTCTGTAGTTTCTTTCTTGTATATTATTCTTTTTTTTTTCTTTTTAATCTGTGGCCTAAAATTAAAAGAGCAATTTATTAAACAACCTACAAATTTACATTCTCCAAATTTGGAGACTATTTACAATATATATTACAGAGAAAGAGCTAAGATATTTACTATGCAAAAAGACACCTTTGTATAAGTTTCACACTTAGATTAAGATACACTAACATTCAAAAAATATGGTCAACAAATAATTTATAGTAGTGGAAATACAAATGGAAGGATGGCTGAAAACATATGGGAACATGTGAAATCATGAGTAAAGAAAATGTCAGTTAAACCATCAAAATAATATATTGGCTATAAACTTACCTAAATTATAAAAAAGTGAATATCTTAGTATTTTCTTTTCTTTTTTTAAATCAATCTTTATTGTTCATATTATTACAAAGGTTCCTCATTTCTTCCCCCTTCCACCAGGTTCCCACCCCACCCTTCGCCCCCTCCCTATTGTCCTCATCCATAGGTGCACAGTTTACATTCAGTCTCTTCCTCCCTTCCCCCCCACCCCCTCAGAACAGTCAGTCCACTGTCCTCCCCATATCACCGACTCTACTACAATGAATCGCTATTATTGTTCAGCAGGTTTTTCAATCTCCTTTTTTGTTGTTGTTGTTGTTTTTAAATTAATAAACTTTTACACTTCTAAGAATAAATTTTAAAATCTAATAATTTTAAACCTTGTTTTTTTTCTGCCCTGGGAATTGAGAGCAAACTTGTTTACATGTAAACTTGCCCTTAGGCTATCAAATGGCATAGCCATTCAAGTGTAAATGACACATTGTTTAAACATAGCTGCTGGTTGGAATTGGATTACCTGTTCTGGGTGGGAAGGGCTTGTCATTCCCTTTCTCCATTAAAATTAAGGTGTTAGCTTTAAAACCTCTTTTTGGCAAGAGACCTTAAACTTTCAGAACTTTAAAT